GCTCACCAAAAAACACTCGCCGCCGTCACGGAGGAAGGCAGTGTGAGAGAGGAGGGAGCGAGCGAGGGAAGGAGGGAGGGAGGGGGAGAGGTGTCAACCAGCCATTAGCCGTCAAGTCTACTCCTCACCAATATGACTAAATGGAGAGCGAGTTCATTTCCACACGTTCATCTGCCTCCGGCACCCCATCATCAGCATCATCTCATTAAACGAAGTATTAGCCACACAGCAGAAATAGTAAATCTAGTAAACCGAAGGCTAATAACTACTACTACTACTACAACGACGACGACGAAGAAGACTAAAGGGAGGGTGAAAACAACACGTCCGACCTGCTACACTACTACCACTGCACCAGTAGAAGACAACAAGTCGTCAAGGCGATTCGTGTGTGTCCTACAAAGTAACCATGATAACAACACACCCCTACTGAAGAACACCACATTTACGAGCATCTGGCAGACTATGATCCCATCGAGAGGCTTATTTTCATGGCAGCCAACGCACACACCTCGACGATGGCCTACCTAGACGGAGAGCCCTAAACCACCGAGTCGGATTTACACAAACGTGTGTCCACCACACTGTATGCACATCCTTCATCAACAAAAGACTAACATTGGCACAAGAAAGGACCTGGCAAAATTGCCTAACGACGACAAAAAATTGCACAGGAACTACAATGCCAAGCAAACTGTGAGAAGAATAAGAGGAGGAGAAAGGCTGCCTTAAAATTGGCAAAGACGTAAAGTCGCGGGTAACTTCCCAGTCACAAGTGATTCCATCATCCAAAGCGCTCAGTTGATACATCAGTGCCTAGTGCATCAACTAGGCACCGTCATGACGTGGGGGGAAAAAACGCTTGTCCAGAGGCAAGGCTTACGTTTTGCCGTAGACGGTCACGCAGACCATGACGCTGATTGCTGTGTCACACTCCACTCCATCAACACCCGGTACGCTTCATTCATCCATCCATCGAACCAACCAAGCAACCACGGGTGAGAGTATCACCCGCACAAATTACACCAAACACTCAAACACCTGGTCACACCCGTAGCTATTATAAATACTACGCAAATACACACTACAATCTCTCGCAAAATACCTTTCCCGAGTCGATTAGCTAAGACAAGAATAGCAACGCAAGCAATAAGTACACGCACGAAAGCCGGTTATTCTTTCCAAGGAAAAAAGGAAAACAAGAGACGCGGTGTATTAGGAAGACCAGTAAATTGAGTTAATTGCATGAGTAGGTGCCGATGAGCAAGAAATTAAACCAGCCACCATCTACTATATGCCAGTGCTGAGTGAAAGCACTTTAACAACCAACAGAGATAGCGGGAGAATTACATTGAAAACATATAACATAGTGTAACGCAAATATATACATGCATACACGTACATACATATACATACATAATTATATACACTTAGAATTTGGCCAGTTTCTCCATACATGTATCCGCACTCTTCATGCATTGGCATTGACGCCTGCT